CAGCAATTGCCAATTCACTGGAGGAAAATGATAGATTTAACCAAGAAGCTTCATTTTTTGTCTTTTTGACTACAGTCTGTCAACAACTGCATTTCTCAGTTGTCACTGTTCTTCATTTGATTTTAATTTACATGATTTGTATCCTATCCCTTTGACCCTAAACGTTCTTTATAATAAAAACAACAAAATTAGACAGGAGGATGGAATTAGGTTGATCTGAAATAACTTATAAAAGTGTAAGTTCTGCAGAAAGGCAGTTTGATGAGGCCCTATAAATTCTATACAGCAGCTTAGCAATAAAACTATTGACTCTTTATATTAAAATTATTTGAATTTTTTCCCTAAGCGTTTGCCCTGTGCCACAGTTAATTGAGTTTTGTAATGCAAAATTTCACTATATATCTCTTTATTGTATATTAACAAAGGAAGAGATCACAAGGAACAGTGTAAACAATAAACATCAAAAATAAATAAAACAATAAACAATTATCTAGTGTCACATATATCTTCTATGTTTTCAGTTTCCTCTAGACCAGGGGTAGGTAACCTTAGCTCTTTTATGACTTGTGGACTTCAACTCCCAGAATTCCTGAGCCAGCCATGCTGGCTCAGGAATTCTGGGAATTGAAGTCCATGAGTCATAAAAGAGCCAAGGTTGCCTACCCCTGCTCTAGACCATAGCAATTTTATTTATATCTATGTACTGCCAAGAATATATCTCAAGTTGTTAATATTCAGAAATCTACTCAAAAGCAATATGAATCACCAGACAACAATTCTCTGTTTGGGATCCACAATGTTTTTTTTTTTTTTCAAAGGAGATTTAATTACTGCCCACCTCAAAACACCTAGCATAATGATATGGGACATTACGTTTTCCTGAACCCCCTTGCCAATCCCTTTTTGCTACAGTACCTATAGTCAGTTAAACAGATTGCATATTGAGATTAGAAATTATGAAATGTATTGATTCAAGCATTTTGTTCTGCTTAGATTGTTCTGCCAAGTGTGATTGAACACACAAGGAATTTGTCTCTGGCTGTGTTCTGATTGGGTGGAGGTATGTTCTGATTGGTTAGGGGCTTGGCTGTGCTCTGATTGGATGGGGGGTTGGCTGTGCTCTGATTGGATGGGGGAGTGTTCTGTTTGAGTGGGGGCTTTGTTGTGCTCAGGTTAGTCTGAGTTGCAGGGGGATTTAAGATGGTGAGCTGCGTTGCTGTTGTTTGGCTTCGCGTTCGTGGTCGTGCCTCATCTTCATGGTGGGTGTCAGAACACAGAACACAGCCAAGCTCCCACCCAATCAGTTCATACCCCCACTGGCAGTTAAAAGGAAGAAACAGCTACGATCACACATTGCTCCTAGAAGCACAAAGCCGAAAACACCAGCCTGAAGATGACGAATGGGACTTCGTCGAAACATCACCAAGACACTTCCAATTTTACGCGGGAGAAAACCCGAATAACCAAAGACCTACATATATATATATTTCAAAATTTTGTGGCTGACAAAGAGTTAAAGGGAGACTAGTATAGCAATTTCAAGCTCTTTAGCTCTCATCAGCTAGTCATACCCCTCTGGGATTCGAACCTGGGCAGTGTGTGTGTGTGTGTGTGTGTGTGTGTGTGTGTGTGTGTGTGTGTGTGTGTTTATATATAATGTGTACATAGTGTACATAATGTAACCTTCAGTTAAAAGTAAATTCTTGTGATTTTCTCTTTGAGGTGCTATACAAATTCATCCCATCTCTAATAAAAAATCACTTTCCTTTCCAGTTCCAATATGCTCAGCCACTTGAAACAGTTCTCCTGGATGACACCCTGAGGGTGCAAGGAGGTGGTAATTGTAGCCTTTTAGTAATTATAAATCCATTTAGGTAGTTGTTAAGTGCTATTGAATCATGCACCACCATTTCATGTTTGTATAGACCAGGGGTAGGCAACCTTGGCTTTTTTATGACTCGTGGACTTTAACTCCCAGAATTCCTGAGCCAGCTTCTGAGAGTTGAAGTCCACAAGTCATAAAAGAGCCAAGGTTGCTTACCCCTGGTATAGACAAAAGTTTATCATCTCAATCTCTCCTTAGCAACAATTGGTAAATCTTCCAAGGATATTATTTCTCTGAATCGTCTCCATCTACATATCTGTAATCTTTTCCTTTCTTCCATCAATCCTGCCAAATGTATTTTTTTTTTCTAGTCCATTATCTTTTTGCATCACATGCCCCATATATGTTGAGTTTCTCCTTGCTGATCATTGCCTCAAGGGGGCAATTTTATTTCCTCTAGGATCTGTTGATTCTTGGAGTCCATGGCATTTTAAATAGCTATTGCCAAATACATAGTTAAGAGATATCTTTTTTATCTTGCTTGTTTCTCAGTATCAGATATTTAAGGCAATACATTACACTGAAAAAAAATGCTTTAAATAGTTCATTTTTTGTTTTCTTTAGAATACCTGGCAGGTCTTATCTAAGTTTATAATTGCTTTTCTTTTAGAGTTTAATCAGTTTTCTGTTTCACCTCAACATTGTTTATCTGTTCTGGTATCCAAAAAAAAAAAATGCAATAACATCAGTTGTATGAGAAAACACTTGGCTACTGTATTTCTTTGACAGCTTTTAGAATAAATGTGTTGTTGCATTGAAATTATAATTTATAAAAATCAAAAGATAATAGAAGGTTCTGGGTTATAAAATTAGAGATTACTGTTCAATTCAAAAAAGTAGAAGATGTTTTAAGTATAAACTAATGTTTATTAAAATAATGCTTCTTTTAACATCATTGAGAGTCAGGGTGGTGTAATGGTTCAGGTATTAAGTTATGAGTGGAAGACCAGTCCCATGTGACTTTCAGGCCATGAAAATTCACTATGCATTTTGGGCAACCTGCTCCACAGAATAGTTATGGAAAATTATTGGAAGTGTGGGAATTATTTATACCAACGTGAAGGAAAAGCAGAATATTAATCAGTGTTTAAAAATACTGCTGTGTGGATTTATTTTTTTCAGACATCCTCACCATCAAATATATGCATCATTTTATCTTTATATAGAAAAATAAAATAATTTTTCATCATATCTTATATCAAAACTATTGATAGCTGTTCCAAACTACTAGATTTATGTTCTTAAGTCTAAGGATTTATGGGAGTTATGAAGTAAATGTTCTCTGTATTTATGTGTTAGGAAGTTGGCCTCTTAATAACAGTTGTGTGACTGAACAGGAATAATACCGAATGCTAAATTTCAATAAATTTATGTCCTACGAATAAGATCAGGGGTCCCCAAACACTGGTGCTGGCCACAGCCCATTGGAATCCAGGCCATGGAAGTGGTGGATGAGCATGCATGAAACTGCATTTGTGAAAGCGGTGTGCACACATGAAACCTCCCCCTCCCCCCCTATGCTGAGCAGGAAAGGTTGGGGATCACTAAGTTAGATAACCTAGTCTGCATTTTTTCTGCATTGCACACCAGTTAGACCTTCAAGTCCCCTTGCTTCTTTCTTTGTGCTTTTTTGGTGGAGCAGTATGCCTGCAAGTACAGGACAGTGGCTGGATGTCAGTGTGGTGATACTGGGCAGCTAAGGAAATGTTTAACAAAGGAACAGATTTCTCTAAAACTAAGAGAGCTAAGCATCTAAAAGGCATTGTAAAATGTAAGGGTACTGTTTTGAGTTACCTAAAGCAGAATCACTGTGCATGACACATAGCGAAAGCCACCAAATGACCAACCAATTCAACAAAACAAATAAGGTAAAACACCAAGTAAAATGAATTATTTACAAGGCTTGAACAAGTCAAAAAGTCTGTGTTCATTTATTTATTTAGCAAATGTATATAGCTGTCTACCCAGAAAAGTCTGGATGATGAACATAAACAGAAGAACAATCAGATGGTAGAAATCTATTAAAAAGTAACTGGGTCAAGGCCACCCAAAAAATCACATATATATCAAATGTAGCCATAACCATGCCAGTACTCCATTAACATCCTGACCATAAGGCTTAGGAAGAAGAAATCAGGTCTTCACAGCCCTCTGGAAGGCCAACAAGGTTGAGATTCCAACAAGGTTATGATTCTCTGTATCTCATTAGGAGGTTGGTCCATGAGGAAAGCACCCTGACAGAGAAGGCATGCTTCCTGGGGTCCACCAGGTGATACTGCTTCACTATCCGGAGCATATCTAGTCTGCCTTATCTGATAGGATGGGCAGAAACAATTTGGGAGCAATGATTTCACAAAGTAGTGCTTGGCAGACTTCTTCAAACAAGCATTCTGCATCAAAACTCCACAACAGAAGAAGCTTTTTTCACTTTGATTAAAGTCAGGAGAATATGAAACAGAGCTTTGTGAAAGACAAATGTAATCTACGTTTATGATGTGGTCCATTTAGCTGTCTTAGTTTCAAGCAGCAGCTGTATCTCCAAATTGCTCCTGTTCTTGTATAATTTTCAATTATAATTTTATTGATCTAGTATTTATATTCTTTTATATTCTATTCTATTCTACTCTATTCTATTAATTATATTAATTATTATATATTAGAAACTAGTTTTTATTTTTGTTAATTTTTTAGTTTAATGCTATAAGAGAAAGTGACTATATGAACTATATTGAAGAAGACTTGTAGAATATTCATAATATTAATTTTGCTGAAAAATACAATGAGCTATCCTGAGTGTTTGGTAAGGATAAAATTTGTGACTTACATTCAAATTATAGAGGCTTGTCTTTGGAAAAGCAGTTCACTTCCTCTGAATTTTACAATTTTTGCAGCCAAATGTTTCTAAGGATTAATGGGAAAATCCAAATGATTATCTGAAAAGAAATGCTTTTTTACAAAATAAATGTAAAAAGAAAGAGAGAACCCTTGGTAATAGCAATTCATCTTGAACTACAAAGATTATGATCCAATCTTGTGAACAGCTTATTTTGGCATCAATTATAAAGTAGAAGGGAGAAAACTACTGCTGTTTTATGTACTCTGTTATCTTTTACAGGTGATTCCTTAACTTTCCTGATCATTGTCTCAGAATACTTTCTAAATGAACATTCCTGTGACTCTCAAATTGCTGGAGATGGCAAGTCCAGCGGTCAGCCCTGACTCTTCTTCCCATGAAGCACTTTCTTCTGTCAACTCCATGCCTGCATGTTCTCCTACTTCCGATTCCGAGAACTTGAGCCCGGATGAGTTGGAGCTCTTAGCCAAGTTGGAAGAACAAAACAGGTAGGACGTTCTGAAGTTCCAGTACTGCTCTGATACTGACTGAAAGCCAGAGGATATAAATAGTTTAATGTTTAAATGTTTGCCAGATGTTCCAGTTTTACTGGATGGCCCCTGTTAACACGTAGGTTAATTAAATACAGTATTTCTTGAAGCGTTAATGTACAAATACTAAATAGATATTACCCAATGGAAGACAATCATAGATAACAAAAGTTCTGATTCTTCCCTCTACTCTATCTGAAAATATTGTTATTGGGCATAAAAAAATATTGGCTTCATTATCAACAATGCTTATTCTACCTGGCCTTACTTTCTTTTGGGCTCTGAAGTAAGTGCTAGGATTTATTTTGGGGGAGGGATTACTTTTTGCTGGTACCAGTAGGCCCTGAGCACGTGGGGTGGGGCGGGGCTTGCGCATGGAGTGGAGAAGCTACGCAGTGGTAAGTGTGGTGGTGGACCAGGTACGGGATCGATGCGGGCGGGGTGCATCCCTTCCTGTGCCAGGCCAGCCCCTGCAGTCTTGGGGCGGCATGCTGGGTAGCAGGGGAAGGGCGCCGAGGTGGGGACAGCCAGACCGACCAAAGTGGCAGGTGGAGCGCTGGAGGCTTGGGAAGGGAGGGTGGTAAAGGGCAGGTGGGGCATGTGCCCAGGCCAGGCCAGCCCCTGCAGCCCCAGGACAGCCATGCTGGATGGCGGTGGGAAAGGTGCCGATGTTGGGGTGACCAGGCTGACCAAACTGGCAGGTGGAGTGCCAGAGGCTCGGGGAGGGAAGATGGTGAAGCAGGCAGGTGTCCTGCCATAAGCACCCATGCCAGCTGCCCCTTCCCTGTGGAGCTGGAGAGCTTGCCACACCACTACCCAGATGCCCTGACTTCCCCCAGTAATTGCATTTCTTTCCTTACCTGACTTCCAGCCCCATACCATTTCGCCTTCACAATACACTGCTGCCACGTGCAAGGAAACAAAAGTTGGGGGGGGGGAGGTCAATTCCAACTTCTAGCAAAAAAAAAAATCTCATGAAGTTGGAATTGATTGATTGACTTCCCCCCCTCCACAAACTTCTTTTGTTTATGTGCACATGGTAGTGGAGGAGGAGAAACAGCACAGGGCTGGAAGTCAGATAAGGAAAGAAATGCAATTCCTGAGGGAAGAAACCAACAGTTCTATTAATGTCCTGGTTGTAAAGCCTAAGGATGCCTTCATAGGCTTCCAAAAAGCCAGTAGAGTTGAGATTGTTGCATCCCAAGGCCAGGAGCCACAACAGAGGAGATAAGTGTCTAACTGCCCTCAGACATTGTCTCAGAGAGTGGACCTGGAGCATCCCCTCCCCCAGCAGATCTGATAGGCAGGGCTGCCACAAGCAGGTATTCAAGTAGTACATATGGCAACAAATTTAAGTTTTAAAAGCCAGTTCACTCTGAACGCCAACCGCACGTGCTTGCTTATGTCAAATGAATATTGTAGAAGCAGTAGAGATTAAAAGAGAGGGGAGACAGATGAATTCAACTTCTACTCCCTGAGTAGAAAGATACTGAAAACTTCAAGGATGTGATGGCATATGTGGGAGAGAATGAGGAACATGAGGGCATATCTCTCTCAAGCAATGAGGTGTGTACCAGCAGGGGTGCTAGAGAATGTGCTTGTTTGCTAGGGAGATGATACGAAGTGGCAAGCTGGGTGTGCTGCTGTTGAATCAGACTTCCTTTCTTTCCTCCTTGCTCTTCATCCCTCTAGTCCAGGGCTTTTCAACCGTGGTACATTGGCACCTGGCAGGTGGTACACGACCATCCTAGAAAAGTAGTAGTGGGGGAGGGGAATGAGCTGAACCGGTGGCAGCACCACACAAGCCTAAGCGAGAGACGGCTGGAGCTGCAAGACTGTCCGGGCTCAACAGAAGCGCCAGGATCAGCTCCAGGCTCAGCTGGAGCTCAGCGTTGATCCTGGCACTTCTGCTGAGCTCAGAAGAAGCGCCGATAGCTGGAATGTTGCAGCCTCTCCAGGGTCTTGTGATTTACATTCAGATGCTTGGCAACTGATTCATATTTATGATGGTCACAGTGTCCCAGGGTCATGTGAAGGGACCAAAACCTGCTGCAACCACCCAGCAAATGGGGGGGAATAAAAACCAAACACCCCCCACCCCACCCTTGCTGCCAATCCTCAACAGAAATGCTCACAACAATGAAAACCTCGGACAGGAGGAAGAGCGCCATCGGGTGGGCAGGCAGGTGTCTTGCTCGGCTGTGCCTTGGGGGGCACTTTTTTCAGTGCCATTGTAACTTTGAACAGTCACTAAGCGAACTGTTGCAAGTTGAGGACTACCTGTACTTTATCACTTTTTTCCTTTTCTTTTTTGGTCATCAAGTTTTTTACACCTTGCTAGGTGACTGGTGGTACTCGGATATTGCCATATCCTAAAAGTGGTACAATGGGTGAAAAGGTTGAAAAGCCCTGCTCTAGTCCCTCAAGACTCCTCCTGTTTTCCCAAATTACTCTTGCCTGGGCCTGGCATGTTGGTTCCCTTCTCTCCTCCTCTCCAGTTTTTGGTATTCTCGGTATTCTCTCTCCTTCAAAGTTGGAGCCACCTATTGCCCTCTGTGGCTATGTCCAGAGTGACTGCTCAGTGTGTCTATTGGTGAAAAAGAGTAGAAAAATGGATTACACCAAAGGATAATATAGACTCCTTTTACCCAGAATTCAGTAGGTGTTCCTGGGAATCCCTCTGTTAAACACTTACAATATTTTGTTGCTGAATGAATAGTATATTCAAAGTAAGGAGATTGCTGCAAGCACTATTTTGCCTTTGGGGGACAGTTAAAACCTTTTTGAACAAAGGTGCTTTACAGTCAGCAGTGGCTCTGCTAGTAAGGTGGGCTGAAACCTTTGGAGACATGGCCAGTAACCTGGCCATGTCTCGTGTAGGGTTGTAAAGGTGATAACCAGTATCTTGAATTGCACCCAGGAGCCAGGGCAACGTATGTAGCAGTGATACTATATTGATGAATATTGATGTGCCTAAAATTGTATGTACCACTGCATAACTTTAAATTGTGCAGCAGCTCTTTCTAGGGAGTGCTACCCCATCCAGAACCAAGATGGAAGTTCTGCAGTCCCAAGGGACCCCAAAACCCACAGTCATTCAGTCTTGCTAAGATTGAGTGCAGCCTGTTCTTTCCAGCCAGTCTTTCGCTGCCTCCAGCACTGGATTAAAAACCTTGATGGCAATACTTCTATAGCGTGGACCAGATATATATAACTGAATATCATCAATTCTGAGGATACCTCACCCCATGACAATGGATAATTTTACTTAGTGGCTTTGTGTAAATGATGAATAGGAACAGAGAGAGTTGAACCCTGTGGCACCCCACATATCAAAGGTCCAGGACTAGACCTCTCCTTTCCCCATCTATACCAACTTGAACTGACTTCCAAAGGAGAACCACTGCAGAACTCTGCCCCATCCTTTTCAGTTTCCTGAGCCAGTGCAGAATAATACCCCAATCAATGGCATTGTCAATATTTAAAGCTTCCAAGAGAATCAGAAAGAATCAGGATGGATTCCCCACTCCATCATTAGCCATCTAGTATGATCAGTGCCATCTGAGTAATATGGCCTGACCTGAAACCCAACTGGATAGATTCAAGTACTCTACTTCCTAAAAAGGGAAGGTTGGAAACTGGACAAAAACTATCCAATATGGTTGGATACAAGGAGGGCTTCTTGAGGAAGACATAGATCACTGCTTCTTTCAGAACAGATGGAACTGTTCCCCCCCCCCAATGTCTCTGTCTGTTCCATAGGACTTCTCCAGCCAGAGTTCACCTCTAAGCAAATTTGAGTAACTTGATCTATCAGATACCTGATCTCACAAGGGATCCCTTGGCCCCTCTTTACCAAGAGGGAACTAGTTATCCAAAAGGGCTGCTGCTCAGCTCTCTGCAGATTCAGTAGGAGCAAAGGAATAAAGCTTTTCCACTTTTAATGGTACAAGGCAAACCATGTTCTCATCTGCTTGGTTGGATTCAATCTTTGCTCAAGGTATGTCTTGTGTCCTTTCATCGCCTGGAGTACTTCTGAAAACCAAGGAGTACTTCAGGGTCCAAAACCACAGGGACTCCACAGATGTCATCCAATTTAAGGCTGTTGTTGCTCCCTCATTCTAGGCTACACCGAAGGTCATGCAACCAAGCTTCAACAAAACCAGGACATTTCCTCTGGAATGCTTGCATATTAATCAGTTGCCTGGAACAAATCAAATCAAACAGGCCCTCCGTTTGTACAGTGGTGCATAGCTGCAGTGAATCCCCAAGGCTAAAGGAGAGTTGTAGCTAGTAAGGAAGATGACCTCGATGAAGGTATGCAGAAATCATGAGCTAGGCAAAAGAGGCTGAAATGTTTAAGGTTCAGAGCAACAAGATAGTATTTGTAAGTGGCTAAGGCAGACATTTTCCTAATTCAGGGTACAGCATATTGAGACTTGGAAGATTCTATTATTATACCGTCTCAATAGAAGTTTTCTTGGTCTGGGCTACTTAGTGAGGCTGACAGGAGTGATTTATCCACGTTCCTGATATCAACATCACATAATATCAGATCAAATTGCCGCTGCTATGGGACAAAAACTGGACTTAGTCTGTATGCTGCCAGAGATTCAATAGCTGCACCTCAACCCCAGCTCTGGTACTATACCTGCAATCCAGAATGGCATATTTTAGAGAGGGAACATCCCCGCCCACCCACTGATGTTCAGCTAAGTTTTGGTAACACATACCAGGTCGGCCCTCCCATTTAAAACTAGCAATTTCATTTAGTGATTAACTTTAATCATATAGAACAATCTCTGTGTAGGGAAAGAACATTCTTATTAATGATTAAAAGTCATTTACAGTCTCCTTGAGCTTTCTATTGTGTTCAACTTCAATTTCTCCAGAATATCAAAAGATAGCCAGAGGTGCAATTTGGGAATATTTCAGAAAGGATTGACTATTTCTCATTCACAAAATCAAATGTTACGTGTTCCAAAGAAGTTAAATGTTTTCCCTTGTATCAATTATTGTAATTCACATGAGATAGATGTTAAAGCATAAATGCCAAATCAGACATGAAAGGAATGGAGATGAATGGATGAATGCCTACCTATTTATTAATACTTTGTTTTACATTTTATATATTAGTGTTGCTCAAGCTCCTTCCAAACTAAGGATAGAATTTGGCTTAGGTAAAACCAGATCCAGTTCCGAGTCAGCTATTAGTGGGAATCCTAGTTTGAGTTCGCCTTCAGTTAATTAGTATGGCTGGATTTGACAGTTGCTTAAAACATGTAAAAGAATATACATTCCTTCGGTTAGCTTATTTCTGTTAATAACTTATTTGATTGCTATATGATCATGTTGCAATGTAACCTCAAATGCCTTATTGTACTGCAAAATCTTATATAATAAAAGTGGTGAGAATCTGAATAATCAAATTCGTATTGCTGTGAATAAGATTACTTACTGAAGTATAGTACTGTACATATTGTTCTTGACTATAAATGTACAAAATTTGGCTAAAAGATGAAAGAATCCTTTCAGACTGGTATATGGTACAACCTTGTACAAAATGGAATTGAAAAATATAACAGTTCTGTTTGTTTTAATTTTATTTATTCAATTTCTTTCAGCCAAGTGACTCTGCATGACAGAATTCTAAAACTATAAAACCATTAAAAATAATAAAATAATAAAAATAACAAAAAACCCCAAAAATAAATACATACAACAGCCAAGATATTAATCAGCTAACAATAAAGCAAAAAAAAAAGGGGGGGGTAATTTTCTTGTATTGTTTCCATTCAGTTTCCCTTCATCTTAAAACCAGAATGCATTCTAAAGATAGAAAGGTTTCTCTATATCCTTGATTTTAAATATATGCTAAAATTCTTTTACAACTAAGAAATATGCCATGTTCTGTCATATTCTCTCTATTCTGGGTCTCAAACAGAATAATTTGCATAAATTACAAATTTATGCATGTATCCTTCCATTCCTCTTCAGAGAGGGCAGAGTTTCTGATGAATATGCAACATTACAGGAGAATGTTCAACATGTTGATTGACAATCTTAATCCCTACAAGTGTCATAATGCCTCTTAGTTGAAATGTTTGAAGAAGCTTGTTTATGTGGAAGTTTCATTATGCTCTAGAGCATTTGTTGCATTCTAACCTAGTTATGTAACTGGTAAGGAGACAACTTTTTTTTTTTTTACATTTTTCAAGGCTTTTGGAAGCTGATTCAAAGTCATTACGCTCTATGAATGGCTCACGAAGGAATAGTGGGTCGTCTTTGGTATCCAGTTCTTCTGCATCATCCAATCTGAGCCATCTTGAAGAGGATACCTGGATCTTATGGGGAAGAATTGTCAATGAATGGGAAGAATGGCGGAAAAGAAAAGAGAAGTTACTCAAGGTGAGGAAAGTAATTGCCTCTCTAGTGGTAGACATGTTTTTATATGATTTAGTAGACATGTAGACATGTCTCCATTTGTTATATTTGGTATACTTGCATCTTATCCAATAATTATTTTTTTGATTGTATATTTCTGCATTATAGTTATGGACTTGGACAAGCAAGGCAGTGAGAAACAAAGTTCTTTTTATGTAAGAATAAAGTGTCTTACTTGAATACTGGCTCTTTACAACAAATGCATGTAAAATGGTGATGCAAGAACTCTTTTAAAGCTTAGGGAAGAAACCAGACAAGAAATAAATTGTCTTCTAAAAGCCAGTTGGTTAAGGTATTGAATGTTTATTTTGTGGATTCAAATATTCCAGAAGAACCTCGGGATAAATATGAAAACCTTAATTTGGAGAATCTTTATTAAGATAATTTCTTAATGTAATTTTGGATGCAATAACAGTATTGTACCCAGTATTCCTCTTAGTTTATGTCAACGGTTTAAAATTGACCATATCCATTTATAGAAATGTATATTTGTGAACCAGCTTTGCATAATATCACAAGAGTATCTTGTCTTTTTTTCTCCATTGCTTAGGAACTCATAAGGAAAGGAATCCCTCACCATTTCCGAGCAATTGTTTGGCAGCTTTTGTGCAGTGCCACAGACATGCCTGTGAAGAATCAATACTCAGAATTGCTGAAAATGTCTTCTCCTTGTGAAAAGTTAATCAGAAGAGACATTGCCAGAACATACCCCGAACATGAGTTCTTCAAGGGGCAAGACAGTCTGGGCCAGGAGGTTCTCTTCAATGTTATGAAGGCAAGTTTAAGACAATACTTTTTCCCCCCCAAAATTACATACAGTGTATATCCCTTTATATGTAATAGAGATCTATTTCATGAAATTAACTTCAGCATCTCAACTTAAAATCAAATGAGTTTTTGTTATCTAGAATGTCAGCTTTCTTCATTTAACATCTCAATTGATGTTTATAATATTTCTTGGTCGATAATTATCCTTGCAGATCATACTAAAACTGCTTTGCAGATTAATTGTATTGGAATTTAATTGGAAAAAATAGTTTATGCTAATAAATTATTTTTCCTTGTAAGACTGTATATACAGGGAAGATCAAATTGTTGTATAACAACTACAAATGAGCAGATTTGTCTCTTTGATATTTCTTTTGCAGCCTCTGACATACTATAAAATTAGTTTTTTCAAAAGAAGAGCCCTCCAAGAGTGCTGGAACTTAAATTCCCAGAATCCCCTCCCAGTGTGTCCTTTGGCTTTTTTTTTTAACTAATAAGCCTGATGAAAATTTTTAAAGGCCTATCACTCTCCCATTTCATTTTGATTTTATATATTCACGGTTAGATAATTAATGAGTTGAGTGGTTTCTATAGATGAAATAGCTCACTTACTCCTCTCTGATTTTTCATAAGAACTCTGAGTTATTCTGGCTAAGAGAGGGCAGGTGGCCCAGAGTCACCCAATGGCCTTCTGTGGTGTTGGGGACACACACACACACACACACACACAGAATCCTATTTGTTTTAGTGAAACTCTTTCAATGGTCTCTGTCACATTTCCTTTTTACTAGTTGCTCTTCCCCATGTGATTCTTGAATTTTCATGGCAATATTTCATTTACACCTCAATGTATAACTAATTCCATGAGCTTTAACAACATTCACACTGTATAACTGGTGCTGGTTACCATTGAAAATTAAGTCACCTCCCCTTTGATTACAGTTATTTAGAATATCCAGAACTTTTCTTTCTTTGTTGTGACTAATGTATGCATATATTCAATCTATCTGTGAATATTTACAGTCTCCTCTATTACCATAATTATTTTTTCTTGTTCCTCTCTTTATCATTGTCTCTTATGAGTAATAGTAGTATTGTAGGTTTCTCATACTAAATCAGTATAAGTAGTCTAGGACAGGGCTTTTCAACCGGTGGTACGCATACCACAAATGGTACTTTGGCACGTGGCAGGTCGTACGCGCTCCCCTAGACAAGTATAGCGGGGGAGGGGAATGAGCTGAAGTGACCCAAGCCTGAGGGAGAGACAGCTGGACCTGCAGGACTGTCTGGGCTCGGCAGAAGCCCCAAGAGCGCTGCAGGGTTCCAGCTGATTGGCGCTTCCGTAGCTGGAGGTGAACTGAAGAGAAAAGGAGGTGGGGAGGAAAGAATATAAAAGGAGGTGGTTTTGGTGGGAAAGGGGACGGAGAAGGAACTGTGGAAGGAGAACTCAGTAAGCAGGGAAAGAAGAAAAGGTCCCCTGGTTAGTTTTCTCCAGCCAGGAGAATGCAATCAGCGCTGATGAAATGAAAAGCCGGGAGATGAGCATGTTGGAAATGAGGTTGTTTATTTAGTTATGGGTCAGCTGGTAGCTTGATTGGGTTACCATAAGGATTTTTGTGCAGTTTTTACAGCATTTTGTAATTCAGAGGCTCGGTTTGTGTGCTTTGGTTATTGGAATATTTTAATCTGTTTCACAAAGGCTAGCAATGAGTTCAAAGTGTTGGCTTCCATAGGTTTAATCCCTTTAAACAAATGTAATTAGTTTACCCCTTTATCTTCAACCGGTCTATGGCTTTTAACAAGTTTTCTTTGTAGGTAAACAGGCTTAATTTAAGGTTATCGTTTTTTTGCAATTGCCAGAGCCTTTCAGGCTTGGGTTGCAACATTGTGACACACCTGAGGCAGCTTAAAGAAAAAAAACCCCGGAGTTTAGTGTTTCTTTATTTTGGGAGGCTTTGGGGAGCCTTTCTTGGTTTGCGCTTGATTCCTATGTCTTTAAGGGTACAGTGAAGGGATTTTGTGTGTATGTGTGTGTGTGTGCATTCTTACCACACTGTGGAAGGAGAGGAGAGGGAAAGAGGAAGAGGGGCTGACCAGCCAGCTGGTAGTGGTGCATATTAATAAATATGGATAAATTCATCATACATTTGTCAGTGCAAAGAGAAAGTGGTTCAGCAAAGGAACTGCCACCAAAGAAATTAAAACTGGTACTTTTTTCCTTTTTTCTACTGTTTCTAACATTTTATTAGATTATAGAATAAAATACAAAAATACAAAAGCAAATAGTAGGACCCAGTGGGGAGGAGAAAGGGGAAAAAGTGAGGGGGAGAAGGGAAAAAGCAAAGAAAAGGCATTGACTTCCAACTTCCTCTGTTGCAGTAGAAGGAAGCATTAACATTGAACCTCAACTTTTTACTTTTTCATAATATTATAAACTAGCCATTTCTGCAAAACAAATGAATCTAATCAGTAAAACCCAAAATCCCCTCCCCCTTTTTTTAGTCATCAAGTTTTTGACACCTTGCTAAGTACTGGTGGTACTCAAATATTGTCATGTTCTAAAAGTGGTACAATCTGTGAAAAGGTTGAAAAGCCCTGGTCTAGGAAATACAAGTAGTCTTCAATTTACAACAGTGACCACAATGTTGCAACCCGAGCCTGAAAGGCTCTGGCAATTGCAAAAAGCGATAACCTTAACCTAAGCGTGTTTACCTACAAAGAAAACTTGCTAAAAGCCATAGACAGACTGAAGATAAGAGGGTAAACTAATTACATTTGTTTAAAGGGATTAAACCTATGGAAGCCAACACTTTGGACTCATTGCTAGCCTTTGTGAAACAGACTAAAATATTCTAATAACCAAAGCACACAAACCGAGCCCCTGAATTACAAAACGCTGTAAAAACTGCACAAAAATCCTTATGATAACCCAATCAAGCTGCCAGCTGACCCAGAACTAAATAAACCAACCTCCTTTTCGACATGCTCATCTCCCGGCTTTTCATTTCATCAGCGCTGATTACATTCTCTTGGTTGGAGAAAACTAACCAGGGGACCTTTTCTTCTTTCCCTGCCTACTGAGTTCTCCTTCCACAGTTCCTTCTCCATCCCCTTTCCCACCAAAACCACCTCCTTTTATATCCTTTCCTCCCCCCCTCCTTTTCTCTTCAGTTCACCTCCAGCTACGGAAGCGCCAATCAGCTGGAGCCCTGCAGTGCTCTTGGGGCTTCTACCGAGCCCAGACAGTCCTGCAGGTCCAGCTGCCTCTCCCTCAGGCTTGGGTCACTTCAGCTCATTCCCCTCCCCCGCTACATTTGTCTAGGGCGGGTCCATACCATCACATGCCACATGCCAAAATACCACTTGTGGTATGCATACCACCGGTTGAAAAGCCCTGCTGTAAAGCACTGTGGGGTGGTAGATCAGTCTAAGTGTTATTGCTATTATAGAAATGCGTCTGTAATTAGAGCAGAGGAATATGTACAAGAAAATTAAGATATTACATTTATGTATGTATCATCTTAGTTTATAGTTGGTACCATTAAAGTGGCTTTTTGAATTACAGTGGAAGCCTGGCACTCAGACAAATTGGCCATCAATGGGAGCATAGACATAAACAACATCTACATACCATTCAAAAGAGACAATCGAAAAGCCAAAAAGCCAAATAAAAAGACCTCTTTACCAGCAATTAACACCCCGATGAGCAGCGATTAATACTAAGATTAAGATTAGACCAACAATCAAGAAACAAACTGTACTCCAATCAAGGAACTGCGAAACAAGCAAACAGTAAATAGCCCAATTAAAGAACGACCAAGACTTCTCCCATCAACACTGACAGGGCAAGCCACTAGTATATAAAATGAGAGCAAACTCCACTCCCTACTAGCACTGACGATATTACCTAGTTTGAAAATGAAATGTCTGCAAGAAAACAATCTGAGCTATATATATTTTCTTCTTATGGATATAGCTCAGATTTCAGGAATGAAATAGGAAAAATTCTGAGTTTCTGAAACAAAAGGCATAATACAAGTATAAGAAAAAATAAATTCAAATTTATTTAATTGCTGTTAAACCCTATAAAATGAAAGCTTTTAAACTTTTACATCTTTTATTACAATTTTGACAATGTAGCCTTGTTACTTACATATCCTGTTTGTGTGGTCACCAGAAGTCAAAACTGGAATGCACCAGATATCTTGTATTACATAATTCCTCAGAGTGTCTCACATTCAAAGAATATGCAAATTCTTAAATTCCCAAGAGTTGCCTGAAATGCATCACTCGTTTAATGTATGTGGCATCTTTCTTCAGTTAAACCTTCTGATACTTAATTCCACAATATTTTGCATTTATTATTATCTTTGTTTTTTTTAAAATATTGATCTTAATTCTTCCCTGCCATGTCTCCATCTCACCTATCTTCGTATTATGAAGATATTATTTTTTTTAATTTCCAAGATAATTAAGTTCCAGATTCGTTACTTTCCCATAGTTAATATCTGAAATGCTTTCATGGTAAGAAAAATTCTATGACTAAGTTTAATGTTTATAAATCTTATAAAAGGAACTGTGATTCATGAAGCCTTGTTCAATAATACGTTCACTAAACTTCAAGATATCACAAAAATCTTTGCGTGTTTTAAAATACAGCTGTGCATCTTGTTTTAGCTCTTTCAGGAAATTTAACGGCTAAATTGTGGGCTGTAAATTTTTTCTTGTTTAAAATTCCTATCTTTCAGGCTTATTCTCTAGTAGACCGTGAGGTTGGGTACTGCCAAGGTAGTGCGTTCATCGTGGGACTGCTACTCATGCAGGTTTGTGCTGCTTAACATTAGAAATCTTAAGGAGCATGTGGCAGTCATGGTGAGGAGGCTCTTTGTGTAACTGCAAATTGTGCACCGGTTACGCCAATTCCTGGACCAACATTTCTTCCTCACAGTCACCCATGCCATGGTCATCTCCACTTTGGGCTACTGTAATGTGCTCTACATGGAGCTGCCCTTGAAGAGTATACGGAAACTTCAGTTGGTTCAAAATGGAGTGGCCTGCACAAGTCAAGATTTATAATTTGTCACATCTTTCATGGGAGCTGCATTGGTGCTTATTTTCTTCTGAGTGCAATTCATGGGTGCTGGTTGTCGCCTTTAACTATGGCCAAGTTATTGGAAGGACTGCCTCTTCGGCTACATCTACCCAGCCCACCAGAGCAGGAAGGCAAGTATATTGGGGGTCCCAACTATTAGGAAAATTCATCTAGGTGAGACCAGGGGAGGTGAGGCCCTTACCTTAATTTTCTAGAAGGCCTTGAAGACATAGTTCTGTTTGTTGGTCTGCCCCCCCCCCCCCCAGATTAATACAGACCCAGTCAAGTGGCTGTGTGATTGTGTGATTACTGTTGCTGGGGGTGGGGAGGGATTTATGGGTTGTAAAATTTTAATGTTGTAAGCCATCCACAGTCACCTTAAATGAGTTGGGGAGGGAGGCAGGCAACAGGCAGGCATTAGGAATGTTTAGATCAGATCATTATCTTACAAAATATTACATTACAGACCTGTAGTCTGTAATTTATTTTATGCATTTATTAATCCCACATTTCTTTCAGAAACTCAGAGCAAAACATCTAATCACATGCTCTTCCAATTTTCCCCCAAAACAACTACTTTGCAAAGGCTGGGGAGTAACTGATTCAATGTCATTGCTTGGTTTCCATGGCTAAAAGTGGATGACTTTAGTTCTCATCTAGTTTCTCAAACTATAATATTAGCATGAATTTATTATTTAAAAATAGGAACCAAGTTTAATTCTTGTTTTGTATAGAAAGATGTTTTTGTCAGTATAAACTTACTTAAAAGCTTTTAATTATTCAAAAAGTTTGCTTAGAAGCAGGAACCTAAGTACTTTGTTTTCTAGGAATTTGAATATTCATTCTCTATAGATTATAGTCAGTTCACATTGCACATTTAATATATGCTATTTTAATGAACTGTCGAGGCCCAGCTGGTTCAATTTTATAAATGTTTCACATTTTTACTGGCTTGAAATGAAATAGAGCAGTAGCTTATTCTTACCTTTAGAAGAGGTTGATTGGTTTGTTCTGCAGCATTGTTTTGAAAGGAAGGCTTTAGTTTAGACCTTCCCTCGCAATGAAATGCCATTTTGAAGATTATAGATCTTTGATAGTCAGTTTGTAATAGGTGATACCTATTTTTTTCAGTCTATACTAGAAAAAGTATAATCTAGAATTAACTATAATATAATTGCTTGCATTTATTTGGGAATTAGTGGGTTTGTGTCTGGTTTAGGTGCTGGAGTTTCACGGCATCTTATCAATAAATTGGGAACTACAGTGAGGAAAAAAATTATTTGATCCCCTGCTGATTTTGTATGTTTGCCTACTGACAAAGAAATGATCAGTCTATAATTGTAATGGTAGGTTTATTTTAACAGTGAGAGACAGAATAACAACAGAAATCCAGAAAAACGCATTTCAAAAAAGTTATAAATTGATTTGCATTTTAATGAGTGAAATAAGAATTTGATCCCCTATCAATCAGCAAGATTTCTGGCTCCCAGGTGTCTTTTATACAGGTAACGAGCTGGACAAACGTACAAAATCAGCAGGGGAATCAAATAGTTTTTTTCCCTCATTGTACAAAAATTTCCCTGACAAAGGCAGTGGGAATCCATTTTACTATGTTGGCAAGAAACTGTGTGGTTATGTATTCATGTAGTCATCAAGGAAGGGAGGGTAAGTGCTTAAAACTGAGGGTAAAAAGCCAACTGCTCTTGTAGAAAATTATTCAGGTCTGCTGTGTTTTGGATGTGTATCTTTTTCAAGGACAGCATGAAAAGAAAACCATAAAAACATAAAAGCATGGTGTAAACATTGCAGTGTTGTTTATGCAGTAAATAGGTGAAATCAGTCACTTGATTTTAATTACAATGGCTTAAAAGCATTGTATTGATTGCAATGAGTTATTATTACATTATTATATAATGTAGCAGTTAGCAAAAGCATTACAAAAACAGTCACATTTATTACTTCCTTAATCTCCATCCTATTTAAGACATGTGGCTGTGTTGAATAAGTTCCAAAGTATATTTATGCTTATTATTTTCAAAGCCATTCACATTAAATAATCATAGTTGCTTTAAAAAGTTTTCTTGGGTTATTATTACATTGGAGCTGAACAATGGAAGCAACAGATTTGTTAGCACAGACTTGGTCAAAGCACCTTTATATGAAAAACATCCGTTTTATTATAAATTAACTTTTGATAATAATTTTTATTTTTTTCCTCACAAGTTTCCTCCTTGTGTTTTATTTTGTCTTTTTTATTTACTTCTTTTTTAAAAATGGAATCCATAATTAGTAAAACGAGTCTTCCCATTTAGGCTTTGAGTGCTGCATATTGAATAAAAAGTTTCTGTTGTTCATTAAGTTTGAAAGAGACTCACGGATGCACATTGTCTGCTTCTAGATGCCGGAAGAGGAGGCTTTCTGTGTATTTGTACGGCTGATGCAAGAGTATAGATTACGGGAATTGTTCAAACCCACTATGGCTGAGTTAGGACTTTGCATCTATCAGTTTGAATACATGCTGCAGGTAAAGAAATTTCCAAATCTCGGATTTAAAAAATTAAATGCTTCTTTTTTAGATTAATTCCTAAAACCCATCAGAAATCTGAAGTACTAGAGCTTACTAGCTTAGCAAATAATTAGGAATGTTTGTTGCTGTATCTATTACTTTAACTTTGAAAATCCTGGTGGGAAATCTCTTTTAATGTCTGTGTAGTAACTAACATTGACTGGAGTTTCTCATAATTTAAGATTTATGTTTTATGTTTCTCTCAGGAACAGCTACCTGAGTTGAATATCCACTTCCGCTCCCAAAGCTTTCTCACCTCTATGTATGCATCATCTTGGTTTCTTACACTCTTCCTCACTACTTTTCCTCTGTCTGTGGCCACGCGAGTATTTGACATCTTCATGTATGAGGTAAAACATGTAATTAAAAATACAGAAGGGGAAGAAACTGAATGGTCTGCATAACTGATTTGATAATTAAAATTTGCACAGGAAAAAATAGGATATGAGAGCAACAGCATTCTTATCTTGCTACACCTTGGCAGTAGAACTCTATTTCTGCTTCTGGTCAAGAGAAGGGGCAGATAATCATAGTTAGTAGTCACTGCTATTCTTATTGTCCATGGATTTGTCTAATCTATTTCCAAAAATTGTATCTGAATAAATAGTTCAGATTGATTTGTCACAGAATGTTCTAGCAATATTATGAGTTCTAGTCTTGCCTTACACATAAAAGCCAGCTAAGCGACTTTGGGTTGGTCACTCTTTCCTAGCCCAACAAATCTCACAGGGTTGTTTTTGTGGGCAAAATAGGAGGACGGAGTATTGTGTATGTTTGCCACCTGGAGTTATTTATAAAATAATAAAGATGGGATATAAATAAATATTTGCCTCAGTAAATACACAAGTTGCTGCATAAATGTCTGCTCAGTTATGTTTAATTTAGAATATATAACTTGTTAAAGCAGTAACAAGAACATTTTAAATGGTATATGCAAGTGGATCGTTCACTCTGGGAGGGGGGAAACTAAAGCATCAGATTCCCATCACGTGTTTGTAATTTAAATTGCATTTCTTCACATAGGAAGGACTGTTTGACCTTTAATATAAACCATAGGAAATTCAATTACAGGTGGAGTCTATTTAAACTCTGTAACGTCTTTTAGGGATTGGAAATAATCTTCCGTGTAGGAATGGCTCTTCTGCAATTCAACCAAACTGAACTGATGCAATTGGACATGGAAGGGATGTCACAGGTCAGTTCTATCATGGTTTGGGGGACTAGAGGAAAGATAATTCAGTGTTAATACAACAAACTTTCATTTGTCCGCAATTCCATATTTAGGCTTGTATGAATGGAGAGACTTGCAGGACTGAAGATAGTTTGAGAAAAAGAACTGATTCCAGTTATATGCTAAATGTAACCCTTTTAGAACCACTGTTCCATAGTGTAAAAACTCAAGTCAGTTTTCAGAGAAGAAAAACTTAAAGACCCAAGCCCTGGCTGTGTTCTGAACTGATGTTGTGTCATTGCATGTGATAAGGCAGAATCAGCTATTTTAATCTCTGGCTATGAAGGCCTAGAAAGGAGTTTCAGAACTATAGCCTGAGTCATTCAGAATGACCAGGGCAAGAGAGATGGAGAAGCAATGACTCATCTACCTCCTGCCTGTTTCTTTTATTCTTCTTTCTATTTAGAAAAAGTCTCTTATGTCTTTTCCATCTTTTTGTGGCAGTATATCAATATGTCAAATATTGAGAACATCCATTAACTGCCTACAGGTAATCCTTGACTTAGGAGTACAGTTAGGACCAGACTTTCTGTTGTAAGTTGGAATGATCATAAAATGAGTCACCATGTGCCCAGGCTTGATTTTACTTACCATTTTACCATAGTTGTTTAATGAAGCTAGCTTTCCCAATTGATGTTTTTTGTCAGAGACCAGCTAGGAATGTGGTAAATCACAATAATTTGATAGTAGGGTGATGTAATTGGTCATAAATGTGAACCAGAGTCAAGTGCCCAAATTCCGATCACATGACCATGGAGGTCATGTGCTTATTGTAAGTTGAGGACAGGTTGTAAATCATTTTTTTCTGAAGCCATTGTAACTTTGAACAGTCATTAAATGAATTGTTGTAAGTCAAGGATTACCTATATTAGATACCGGGCAGAGATTCCTGAGAATCATATGGGTTTAGGTCCACTGAGTAGCAGATAGGGAGAGAGCTGTGAGTTCTTTTCTCCTGATGGTTTCAACATTAGTTATCAAATGCAGTGTTTCTTCATTGTGTTTTGTAGGCTGACATGAAAGCTTAACTCATGCACTGCACCAAGCCATAATTCAATTTATGTGGCTTTAACATAGCCTTTTTTAAAAAAAAAAAACTCAGTCACTGAAGGATCTTTCACTGATCAGTTAAAACAAATCATGGCTTAGAATGAAATGTGTCTGTAGTCTCCCTGTAACAATACTCTTGCTACAACAACAAAAAACTATTTTGGCTGCATTAGGAATCCATGGAAGAGGTATATTGTCAAGATATTTTTCAAAAATCTATACACTGCCATCTGCCAAGAGCATCTTCACAGCAATCCTGGTTCCTGACTACTTTTTGCTGCCCAGCATTGATATATTGGTCAGTGAAGAGCATGAGCCTCTAATCTAATGCTTAATGATCTGAGGTGGAACTGGGTGGTAATGCTAACGCTGAAACTGCAGATATAGATGAAACTTTGCTTGCTTTAGCAGTTCAGTCTGGTTCCTAACAGACCACAGACCGATAACAATCTATGCCCCGGGAATTGGGGATCCCTGACCTACATGACTGGCAACTTAGAAAGTTGAACAAGTACATTTCAAGGCTCCAGACCCATAGATTTAATAACTGCAAAACATTTCCATTTGTGATATTGCCACAAGGGTTTATTTGTGCTTAACAGGTGAATACTTTGAGCTAAATCTAACCTGTATATATCAGATTTAATCTCTATGGGAAAGCTTTTCTTCAAAAATATAGAATTACTTCAAACAACCATAATACCTCTGAGATACCTTCCTACAATATTGTATATTTTTTCATTATACAACTCAATAAACTGGCTGCGAAAAAATGTTTTACTCATTGCAACGTAGAATTAGGGAATGAAGAAAGAACTGAGATCTAATTAAGCTATTTTTTCCTAATTTATGAAATTGGAGTATTGAACATTTCCACATTGTATGAAGAATGATTTAGGCAGAGAAAAGATTTATGATTTTTATTGCATTAATAGCTGAGATTTAGAGATCTAAATAATTTCTAATTTTTATGATTAAAAACACTGCATTCTATTAGGCTCTGGCTTCGTAAGCTAATGCATCCTGTATATTAGCAAAGACGTGCTCTATCCAGGTATTAGCAATATGCTAGAAATTTTTCTTGAAGCTGGAAATTATCCTATAGGCATGATTTAAGATTGTAACTAGTAAAAAGCTCTGTTCTGAAATGTCTTACTCTTAGTGCATTTGTGCTCATGTGAGCATCTGGACTTAGAATATTTTAATGAGGTACAATAAAAGTGGTCAGTAACACCTCTGTACCTATTCTATTCTAGAAGCTGCCCTATCATAGTGTTAGACTTGAATTTTAATTCATAATCATTAAACATTTGAATTCAATGCATTCAGTTTTAGTTTAATGCAAATGGGCCATATTTGGAAGAATCTTTTCACAAGAAGCGTTCCAGAGATTAACCATCCCTCTATTGTCCAATGTAATCAGCTGAAATAGAGTAATACAGGTAATCCTGGATTTACAACCACAACTGAGCCCAAAATTTATCTCACCAAGGGAGGCAGTTGTGCAATAGTGGCAAATATCTGTAGGTCGGATGTAGGATGAGAGTGAAGGTTCATCCTCTGAGCTTGTGGGTTGGTTTCCGAACGTTTTGTTACCAGGCTAAGTAACATCTTCAGCGGAGTTTAGGGGATGTCAGAGTTCCTTTGTTTATAAAGCCTTCGTGTGGTCAGTAGGTCTTGTGATGGTGAGGTCATGTCAGGTGAGGGTCCCAACAGGTCAGGGTCTTGTGATGGGCAGTTGTTATGTGAGTTTTGCCCCATTTTATGACCTTTCTTGCCACAATTATTAAGCAAAACATTGTTAAGTGAATTATGCAACCATTAAGTGAATCTGGCTTTCCTTACTGACTTTGCTTGTAGGAAGTTGACTGGGAAGATTACAAATGATGATCACAATGACCCCACAACAGTGCAAATGTCATAAATACATGTCAGTTGCTAAGAGTCTAAATTTTGTTCACCGACTATGAGGATGCTGCAGTGGTTATAAGTGTGAAAATAGGTCATAAGAAATGTCACTTCAGACAGTCACTAAATGAATGCTTGTAAGTTGAGGATTACCTATCCAATAAAAATGTCAGAAATTACATTGATGATAAGACCATATGACTTTGATGCATTTTCACTTGGGAATTGTCTACTGCAGTATTTTCAGAAGGTGATTCCTCATCAGTTTGACAGCTGTCCTGATAAGCTGATTTTAAAGGCCTATCAAGTCAAATACAACCCTAAGAAAATGAAACGGTATGTTTTCAATTTTTATTCCTCATATATAGCTTAACTACTAAAGAATACAGGATTTAGGCAAAACTCAGTGTGGACCAGTTCATAATTTTGTGTTCCAGGACAATACTGTATATAAAAGAGAACACAGTTCTCCTTTCTATCTTGACACACTTCTATGTGTTAGCAAAATATGCTCAATCTGCAGTTTTTGTGATGACTTTCTAATTAAAAGTGATAATCTTAAAATGGAGGTTATTGGAAAATGGGCATTTTCCATCCATTTACCATCATTTTTCTGCCACCATATTGTGTATGATGCAGAATGAACTCTATTCTCTATTTTCTAGACTGGAGAAAGAGTATATTGCAATCAAAAACCGGGAAATGGAAGAACAGATTGAAATCAAGGTAAGTCCGCTCTTGTCTATGTCTTGCAATACTGTAATCAAAATGAAAGGTTGGTGTAATGTGTAATGCTCAGTGTTATCTGAAAAATAATCTTTCTTAAATCATACTCAGGTTACATTGTTTCCTGTTCATACCATCCTGGGCATCTTGATTAGTAGCTTTGTTATCTGTAGTGAGCCTGTATTTTAAGCATTCGACTTACGATACTTCTATTGGGGTATATGTGTGGACTTAAAGAATTCCCTTTTTTGAACTTTAGATCCTTCAATCTGGATGTGGCGTGACTTTTCCTCTAATAGTTATTTATGATGCTTGGCTTTAGTTCATGTGGTCAAGATTTCAGCATAACATTTTGATACGCTGGTTTTTCACTTGACAAAAGCTCCTGCTCATGCAGCAGAGCACATGCTGATTCTAATCTTGCTTGCAGAGGCTCCGTACTGAGAACCGCCTTCTGAAACAGCGAATTGAAACCCTGGAGAAGGTGAGAAGTGTACCCAGCCGCATGAGAATCCACTTCCTCCGCTTCCAGACTAGCTTGGCCACCAAAAATGAGGCCTTTCACAGCTCTCTGTCTCAGTTGACTGTAGACAATACACAGAATGCCAGCCATTAGTCTTTGTGCATCCTCTCAGGGACTACCCTGCACATGTATTTCTGGAATCATTCATAATGTAAGCACCCAAGAGAGTATTTCTCACCCTATCACTGCTGGAAATAATTAAAAAGTAATCTACTGCCAGGATTCCTTAAGATAGAAAACTAATCTGTAAAGATGTTAGTTGTAGTTTCTCTGCCAGTCCCCAAAAAACTTTGATCAAAATGGTAAACTCACATATTTCGGACCCAAAGTAATTTATTTGTTTTGTGGTTGATATGACATTGTTTTTCAGCCGTCTTGTTGACCTTGCTTTTGTGTTTAAATATTAAACGCTTTCATGAAAAATGTAAAAACTCCTTGGATGTATTTTATTGTCGCATAAATACACTGTTAACTTGAGGACATCTTGGTTAATTGCCCTCAAAGGCACAACAACCTAAAACTGTCCTTGTTACTGATGACTTATTTAAATTTCTGGACAAAGGAAGTGTGACTTCTGAAATGCAAGGAGATCCTTGTCCATTGGCGAAGGAGGCCAATTATGAAACCTGATAGTTCTTGCAGTGTTGAGGCAAAATTACTATGTAAAGCTGCTTCTGAGAGTTCTGTAACCTTGTCATTCCTTATGCACAGGCACATTCTTATGATCTGCATGATGGAAATGACATGCTACAATTTTAAGACAGTTCTGGAAGTTCCTTTTCTTGGGGTCTTTTGGGCTCTTTATCTTTTTTCTTCTGTGCTTGTGTGACCCTGCTGTTGTATCTTTTTTTCTTTTCTTCACCTTTCCTTCCTTGTCTGGATCTCCCTCTTCTGGGTCTGTAGGAGAGTGCTGCCTTGGCAGATAGATTGATCCAGGTACAGTAAAAATATTTTTTTTTTAATTTCCAACTCTCCTTTTAGTTTTCCATTTCATTTCACTTGAAAAATAGTGTCTGCAGCATTTAATGTTATTGGTAACTCGCATTTAATAAAGTTCAGACTAACAATTCTATTTTGGTTGTTTAATTTTCTGCAATATTATGCAGCTGTTTTTTATACAGGATTTTGAAATGTTGACTTACCCATCACTTTATTTTAGCAGTAAGGCTAATTAATTATGCTGCTTATATACCAGCCAATATTTCTGGCTCAGGGCAAGTTAAATATTTTACTGTGGCAAATTATAGTAAACCTAGTTACCTACTTGGTGAAAGATTTGTTTTAGTATTAAATGTTATATAGACAGTTCAAATTTCTGAATTGTCCTGCTCTCTGAATTATAATTGGGGATTACAGAGAAGGAAGAAGAATGCCACTGGGGCACTTTTCCCTGTGAAAATCACTATAGAAAGTGAAAAATTTTGCATTCTGGGGTTTGTATTGAAACAAGTCTAATTTCTTATATTGGAGCTTCCACATTTTTACATTTGTTTTTTTATCACTATAGAAACCCATTGTACATCGTAAGTATGAATGCCATCCTTTTAATTCAGCATAGATTTGCAAGGAAAACCAAGGCACTATTAAAACCGTGGGTACATCATGGGAATTATTGCAAGCTGTCAAAGTGTCCAAGTGGGGCTGAAAACTCTAATCTGCAATTTCTGTTTTATATTTTAAGGATGAATTTTCTTTTGTAACACTACAAAGAACTATAAGCATTTCTAAATTTTATAGAGAGAGCAGGCCCTTTATGGAAGATTGCAGAAAGTAAGACTTGTGTGCATATATATTCCTTCCTCCTATTTTCCCCCACAACAACAACAAAGATTAGTTGGGCTGAGAGAGAGTGACGGGCTCAAAACCACCCAGATGACTTCTATGCCTAAGGTGGGACTAGAACTCATCGTCTCCTGATTTCTAGGCCAGCAACGTAAATCATCACACCAAACTGATATTTATGCTTAAAGTAGTTTTTTATGGAGAAAATACATTGTGGGGATGGCCTTGCCAATTTGCTAAAAGGCCAGTGACCTTCTGGTGCCATCCAATGCTTGCAACCGCCAGTTTTCTTAAACAGGTTCCTGCAATAATAAGAAGTAGCAAAACAAAGACGTAGTCCTTCCCATCAGTCTCAATTGCCACTATCTGGGATTACATTAGAATGAGGAAAAAGAATTTGCCGTTGGGAATTTCATGTGATCCTTATATACATTTAATTACATGCTCCTGTGTTTATGCTGAACAATAACATTAACTTGGCTTTCAGCTTCGCTTTCAAACAACCTAATTTGTGTTCTGTGTTGCTTCAGATTCTGTAAGCAAAGAAGCAGTGCATGAATTCTGTTGAAAGCTCCTGCTTTCTATTAAAAAGAAGTGTGAAGCTTAGAATTTGTCCCGAATATAGGAAGCATCCTTACAGAACGTAATATTGCAGCTGTGTTCGGGCAGCTGATGGTTAAAGTGGCACAACAACCAAATGGACACAATGTTTAAAGTCATGCCATAAAAAACTTTGAGCATTTATTGTTTGAAAAAGCTATATGAAAATATTCCAAAGAATGAATTTGCATAAGGTTGTTATGCAGACAGATGCTACATTCGCACTCCTCTGTGTTCCATGGTGCTTTTTTGGAGACTGAATACAGATTCATGAATATATTGCATAGATCTAATATATTTACATCGTCTCATACACATTAATTTACAGTTACAATTAACTCCAATGCACATTGATACCACACAGCAATCAGATGCGTTTCCAGTTATTTATGCACAAATATGGAATAAACATAGATTTTATACTTTGAATTTGGAAGCACCATGGGAATTAGACATTTTATTTATCTATCCAGGGATATAAACTTAACAATCATGATTAATTACTTTTTTGTTTGCCTTTTCCTATATTCTCTGACAATTCAAAAAAGAATGTACTGAGTAGCTTAAGTGTTAAATCTGGAACACTGAATAGTGGGATCAGAATATCCATTTGCAGACATATTATAGCAATTACCTGACTGCAAGAAGAACATTTTATCTCTTTAGTTCCCCTTCTCATGCAGTCCTGTGTAGAAGTAAATAAGTACTAGTATAAGTATCTGAAAAGCACCACAGTGTTCCCTTGTGAAATGAACCTAAAAACAATACTAAAAGAAAAAAAAAATTGCCATGCCACTGTGGTCAGGCCTTGCTGTTTCCAACTATTTGCGTATACAATGCTAAGAGGATGCTAAGTGTGCAGATATTGTGAAAGATGAAGACTATTCATCTCATCTCACATGCTGTGGTGAGGTTTACTAAACCAAAATCTTTCTGTATAGGATGAGACATGTCATAGCAAGCAACTTTTTGGGAGGCACAAATTCTGTGAATTTATTGTGGGCAGCAAAGGGGGGGGGTGTAAAGATGCCAGAGAAGTAGGCAGAGTTTTTATTGGACTGAATGTCTGAAAATGCTTTGTGAGTGGGGTTTTAAGTATGCTAAGCCGTTGAGTATTTATTCATTTATCTGTAATGCTGTTTAATTTAGATTTGTGTGCTGTATGAATCCTGTTAGCTATGGCTTATTCAATACCTCGGTTTAAATTCATTGCATGAATTCAGCCATTGTAAAAATAAGATTGTGAATTTAAAAAGGCTCATTAATTGAAAGGTAAAGAGTACAGGGTTTAGATTTTGTTGATAATTGTAATTACTATTGAGGTGAGGGAGATTGCAGCTGACTTATAGTTGGTGAGGTTACAGTTGCAAGACAAAATATAGGCATTCTGATCGAATTGTACGTTTCAATGAACAGATGTCAATATAACTTTATAAAGTTAAACGTGACATTTTCTTCAAATTTGCATGCATAGTATTTAAGTATACTTGTTTACTTAAATATTTCAGGTGTAAAATTTTGGACACTTTAAATTCATTCAGTGCTAGTTACGTTTTAACATTTACATAACTATTGATTTTCAAAAAAACTACAGAGGTAAAAGATAAACAGAAAAAAGATTTTACAAGAAAAGTCTCAGGGAAGAATAAAGGAAAGTGCAAAAAAGAGAGAAAAAAGAAAACTAGAAAAAGAATGACTTCTGACTTTTTTGGTACAAGATATAAATAAAAAATACGTCAAACTAAGATTAGCATCTGTCTGCTTTATTTCCATAATTCCATATAATTCTGACCATCAAATCCCAAAATCAACTTTTCATTTTTTTTTAGTTTCTTGCAAAAAGTCCAAAAATGGTTTCCAAGTAAAAATAATATTTGTCAAAGTATTTTTTTTCATCAAGGCTATCAGCTTCACCATTCTTCCATTATAGGTATTTGTTTTAACATTTATGTTAAGAAGGCACCAAAAGGGGAGCTTCCGGTGGGAGGCGACGGCGATGGCGGCTAGCTTTTAGCCGTCCAGCTGGGGAAGTGTCAGAGCCGCGGAGCGCAGCGCGCATCAGCTGGCCCGCGGCTCGGAAATCCCTTCCCGGGCAAAGGGAAGGGATAGAGAACGCAAGAGTAGAGGTAGAACCCCTGAACCCCCTCTGGATTTATTTCTAGAGGGGGTGAAAGGAGTGTTCCCTCGGAGCTCTTGCTGATCTCCGCCTCCCAGCTGTTTTTGCTTCCTTGGAAGCAAAAGAAACCGCCGCTTCTATCTCCGTGTTTACAGCATTTTGGTGAGTAATTTTTAAACGGACGGAGCAGTTTAAAGGACTTTTTCTTATATTTTAGGTGTTTATTTTTTTATCTTTTGATTTTTACTATTTTTCCTCCTTTTCTTTGTTATACTAGTGAAAGGACTTAAGATGGCGTTTTGAAAGTGTCGGAGTTTTTTTTTCCTTTCTCTTTTGTTTTACTTTCCCTTTTTAAGGATTGTTTTTTGCTTTTGCTTTTGCTTTTGGCTTAGAATTTTTTTTTGAATTGTTTGTTCTTTTATTACTTATTCTTGGGATTTATTCTGGACTTTTAATGATTATAGTTTGTCTCTTTTTAAAAATTCTTTTTTTCTTTTTTTCCTCCTCCCTTTTTGGCTGGAGGGGAAAGGGAAGTGACAATTGTGCTTTTTAAAATGGCTTCAAAGAGGCAGCAGCCTTCCTCAGTACCCAAGGTTATTTCTTCTCCTATAACTTCCACTGCACAGCTACAACAACAATCTAAACATGCACCACCGGCTCAGCCACCACCCTCCCCTCCTCTACCTGGACTTTCAGTGCAAGAGGTTAGAGGCATAATGGGAGAGATTGTAGTTCAAATGAGAGAGGAAATGACTCAATTTGTTTCACAGATTAAATCAGAAATTAAATCTGATCTCAAAGAAGAGATAACGGGGATAAAGTCTAAATTGCAAGAAAATAATAATGAATTACGACAAGATATACTGGCAGCTGTTTCAGGTTTGGCTACTGTGGTGGTTAAGCTCGATGCAAGGCTTGAGGAAGTGGAAGACAAAGTTGACTCTTTAGATGACAAAATTCAAGACGTGGAAAGGAAGGTGGACTCCTCACAAGAAGATATTTTGATGTTTCAATATAGACAAATGGAGTATGCTCTGAGGATTAGAGGCCTCAAGGAAGATATGAATCAAGATTTGATGGAGGTGGTTCTTAGTGATCTGGCGCTGGCTTTGGATATGGATAAAGGAGAATTACAGAGAGAAGTAGAAAAAATTTATAGACTCAACTCCTGGATTGCTAAGCAGAAGAATTTGCCCAGAGATGTGGTGATTTACTTTACAAAGAAGTCCCTGCGGAATGAGATTATACAAGCTTTTTACAACAAAAGATTTCAGATTGCCGCCCAAGATGTCATCATTCTAAAGGAAATCCCATCTAAAATTTTAAGAAGTAGGAAAGACTTTGCTTTTTTAACCAATGAGCTTAAAGCTAGATCGATGCCATTCAGATGGGAAATTCCGATGGGTATCGTTTTGAGCCATGCTGGGACACGTTACAG